GAAGACAGTGCTCCATACATAAGCAGAGCTTTATTATAATAATATTTTTTTGTTTAAAAATATGATTCCTTCGCGTCATAACATTCGTTATTGTGGGAGTGGCTAGGCTCGTTTTCTTTGTTAACTGGTCAGAGAGTTAATTCTTATCTATAACTAAATTCTTATCTAGAACCAACTAAGAGATGACCGCCAACATTAGCCTTGAAATAGATACCCTACCCAACCTTAGCAAAACCCCTCAGAAGATGATGAATCTATAGATAAGAATTAACTCTCTGACCACTTAACGAAGAAAACTAGCATAGCCATCCCCACAATAACGAATGTTATGACGGACCATGCCTAAAAACAAACGTAAACCAAGAGATAGCTTATTCCTAAAATTTCGCTTGAAGATGAAACGGGACTAAACACCTCAATTCAACTTAATTTTAATAATTATTTGGATGATTTCGGCTCTCGTTTTTGAAACCTGAGAACTCTTATGTAGCGAAGGAATCATATTTTTAAACAAAAAAATATTATATATATATATATATATATATATATGTGTGTGTGTGTGTGTGTGTGTGTGTGTGTGTGTGTGTGTGTATAAATTCGTGTGAGTATGTGTACATTTATTTTACGTATATTTTGTATGTTCCAGAGTATATATCTATATTTTTATAAATGTAGGTATTCATATGAATATGCTATCAACAAGTGATAGGTGTATAAGTATGCATTTGGACCTGAAGTTGTATTTCTGTGGGCGGACATCATACAATCGTTATAGATAGATAGATAGATAGATAGATAGATAGATTTGTTGATATTTTTCCCTCGAAAACCAGCACCAAAACCAATTACTCTTTGGATGTGAAGCCAAAAAGAAATTGTACCTGTGGCCAACACATTCTTAAATCAGAAGTATATTCGAGATGTTCAACCCTAAGTTAAGATATATTTTTCTAAGTGATGCGTGTGAAAATTTTGAAAATATGATCTTTGAAATTCGTGATGTCAGTAATAAAATAAATTTTCCGTTTGTATGAAGTGCCGGTCTGGAATAATAATAAAAAAAAAACATCCTCAGAGATTCTAAAATAAATATCTTCTTTGTTTTGTGTTCATGGTATCTTCTGTTTGAATTATGCACATCTCTGTAACAATGCAATTATAAATATTCAGAGCTGATTCTAAAATTTTCTTTGATTAAAACAGTAAAAATACACGAAAAGCAGAAATAGCTATTGTCCTTTTCTTTTTCAAAAGGAAAATTCAATCGTAATTCTAAATTGATTAAACTAGGAATAAAAAGTTTTTGAAAAATGAGTTTTATCTCTTAGCTATAAACAATGAATAAAAAGTTGAATCGAAGCAATTCCCTTTGAAATTTTAGAAACTGTTTCACAAACTAATGCACATAAAATCTTTAATAAGGCTATCTTTTATCGGGTTGTGAATTTTCCAGAAATAATCAGATTTAGTATTTTTTTTTAAATAATCAAACGTACAGAGTGTAGAGTTAAATCACTGATTATGTTCATACATCTGTTGTCTATAGAATCTATAACATCGGCTTTAAGCGAAATCCTTCTCGTCATAGATTCCTCGAAATTATCATATCTACCCAGTTTCGTATCCAAGCCTAAACAAAATAATTTGCATATGTAAAAGTCTACCATTCGCCCATGCTTAGAATATTGCTGCCACATAGAGTCCGGTGCCCCTGACATTTACACAGAGCTCCATGATACAATCTGAAGCGATTTCGAACGCACAAAAACAGCGGAAACATGTGGCAATTGAACCTCAACCGCTTTAGCGAAATGGGTTAATCAAATGTTCCATCTGTCTCAAAATTTGCAATACACCTGCAAGCCACGGGAGATACATGTGTATCCATAGAAGTGAAGTTGAGCACGTCTTTATTTTACTGATCCCTCATTTGTCGTCCATGGTCCACCATATATATATATATATATTGGCTCCTGAAAAATTAATTTCAGTTGAGTTCTCTGGGGAGGAGATGTGGGTTGGTAAACAGTGACTATTATAGCTATATTGCGAGACTCCCGGTCACTGGGCGTGTTTATAAAGATAAACACGCTAAAAATCCACTTTCCTGCCTCCCGTGCGCCGATGGCTTAATGGTTAGAATCTCCGACTGACAGCAGTTCAGTCGGGTTTCGACCCTACCTGGAGGCAACCGGATGTCTAGCCACACTGATGAGCTGCGAAACAGTATATCTGTGGATGACGGTATATATATATATATATAAAGAGAAAAGTGTATAGTTGTTCAGGTATATTTTTAAAAAAGAGAGACACGCAAACGTTTTTGGTTATAATGTGGATTTGTTTTAGTATATATATTATATTTTATTCTTCATATTTCTGCTACACGTGTTCCCGATTTCGTGTTAATAAAATCATTAGGTTTCGTATGAGAGGTGATGATGATAGATGTGTTGATGAGAGATGTCTTCCTATGCCTGTGAGTGTGCGTGATCCTGTCAAGATATTAGACATTGCATTTAAATTTTTGCAGATAAAAGCTTGTCTGAAAAGCATGGAACCGGAAGGGAGTCCCACAAGCGAGAGGTGCGAGAAAAAAATGTAAGCATAGAACTTACGGCTACATCTAGCCAGCTCAATACGACCACTGCTACGCTTGATCAGATTTCGTTTATATGCGGCTTCAAAGGGAGTCCAGTAGAGAACTAGAGGAACTAAACAAGCATCATGCTGAAAAATAAATATTTATGTAAAATAAATGTATTTACATTATTTAAATTCGGACAGATGTCCTCATAATTTTAGCTAATATCCCAACGCTTCTTTTGTGTCCTCCGACCTTCTTCAGAGAACTTCTTTAGAGAACTTCGAACTGAACCCTTTATTCAGTCGACGAGAGTAGATTTTTTCTCGTTCCACTGTCCATGTCTAGAAATATCTCGTCTTGTTCTTATTGAGTACTGTTAGTCATGAGTTTCAATGCTTACATTTTTGCTCAGTTTCTTATAAAAATGGCGTCTCTTATCGCTTTATTTTCCGAATTTCATGTAGTATTTTCATAATTAATTTTGAATTTTTTTTTTTTAATTAGAGATGAGGAATTTTCTATATACGAAGTATAGTGACAATTTCTCACTTCTAGGGTCAAAAGTAAAAATAACATACAAACCATACGATTTATGAGAAAAGACAATCGGGGGTCATTTTCTGTTCGTCTGATTAAGCATTTTCGCATTAAAAGAAAGATTAATATCAAATGTGTACGAATATGGAAGGGGAAACCTCACTATAGCACACAAACGACGTTAATATCTATTGGTAAGATAAGTTTTTTTTTTTTTTTCTTTTAAATATTTCTCGATAATGATAGTGTACGGACCGATAGCGGCCAACACCACATTCCGTGATCTTCGGCTGTCGGTCAGAAGCTTGGAGAGGGACAATCTGAAATCACGCGAAAGGATCATGAGGAAGAAGAATTTGTTTTTTCAGCCCTGGTGTAACCCCACCACCAACACCACCACAACCACCGATGATTGAAGCAGTTGAAGCTCTGATGATGATTGTTATATACAGTACCTATGAACACTAACTGCTATGTCCCAATAGCTGTATTAAAGTTACAGCAACCGCCGTCTGTCGAACTCTCTGCATTAGCAGAGAGGAACCCGGACGAAGCTTTGCCGAAGGGCAAGGTTTCGTTCGGGGAGGTTATGACAACTCTCGAACCCGCCTAGGCGAGTCGAAAGCTATGGTGACGGGTGACCACGTAAAACTCTGCCTTGTGCCACGTAAAACTCGGCCTTGTGCCATATGCGATCCCACGTGGGGGGGGGGACAGCTAAATATATGATATATAATATAACTGCTATGTCCCAATCCTCATAAATACGTTGGACACTATCGTAAGTGGCGGTAAGGTGCTGTATAAGTAGTCCACCACTAGCAGTGGTTTACCTACTTCACGCCGCTGGCGAGTATTGTATTTTGTTGATGTTATAAAGATTACCATTTCATTTAATTTCCAAGCTCCATTTTGATTATTCCTCATTTAGGTTTCTAGTTTACAACAATGATGATGATGGTGATGATGATTCCCGTTATTTATTCTGTTTACGTTCGGACTATTATCCGCATATTGTTTTTATTACCACGACGCTTTGGCCTTCTTGTCTGTCAATCAAGTAACCATCAATGGATTTCGCACTGAACCCTTTATCAAATCTACGGGGATAGATCGTTCTCATTCCGCTGTCCCTGTTCTGGGATACACCTTTTAACCGTATTTAGTACTGTTTATTTATTTAGAAATTCAAACAGGAAAATAAATACTTTCGTTTTTATTATCTGACTACGGATAATAATTCTACCTTTTTCGAAATGTGAGCACTTCTTCATTTATCATGAATTTAAAGTAATTTTGCAACATTCTGATTATAAATGTCGGTGTACTTTCGAGTGTACAAGTCGATAACGTGCAGAAAAGACCGGTTTGGCATTTTAACCAAGAAGTTATTATTTTACTTTGTTGACATGTCCCGCACATAAATCGATCACACGTTTCCACGATAACTCAACAACAAATGAGGCTCAAAAGAATCAATATTGACCAAAAAAAGTTAACTTATTATTAATATTTTTAAAGGAATTTCCATCAAAAATCTTCATGGGGCTCCCACCTCGAACGGGTAAAATCATCAAGCTGCCATTTTTCTAAGGAACATTAAATCAACCGACCATAGATATTTTTATTGACTTATTTTGTAGGTTATTTAAAGGCAGAAATATTTTCAGAGTGTATGAATTTTAGGGGGATAATAATGATTTTTACTGATACATGTCTTATTATAAGCGATATCTGGGAAGAGAAGAGATAGATTTATGCCTTTCCCATGGGGATTTGCTCATAAGTGAATATAATGAACCCAACTTGAATTGCAACTCAGGTGTCCGATTTCCAATTCTGAGCGGTTGTCCACTACGCCAACCGCACACCCAAGCTTACAGTACTAGGTATTCGCTAGCCGTCACCCATCTAGGTACTGATCAGGCTCGACGTTGCTTAACTTCGGTTATATTAAGAGAACTGGTGTTTCAACTTAAGCCCTCAATATTTTTAATTGATTTCCCATATGAAACCTTTCCAAAATTTAGACCAAAGTCTGCCCTATATTACCCCCCCTGTTTTACGTGCTTTAGATATTTGCGAACTTTGAATGACTAAAACATGGAAAAATAACCAAAACAATTTGCGTTACGGCAGTCTTTCAAATGGAGAGGATTTAGACGCGCTCTACAAAATGCTAAACGAAAAACTTTATCAAATAAAAAAACAGTTTACTTGACAACTTCCAACAGCAACAAATCTGAGTAACACATGTAACAAGAAGAGAATAATATAATAAAGCTTTTCACTTTTCACACTAAGCCAAAACTACAATCTATATTAAAAAAAAGCAATAACAGTGGATATGAAAAACCTAATTTCCTGAAAGCTTTTTGAAGAAAAATATTTGCTAAATTTAATTTAACAGTAACACTAATTGTTCCATCAATGAATGTTTCCTAATTAGTGCAGTACATTTTCCTGTCCTAATTATACAATCCTGTTTTTCTTTCTTAATTAGAGCAACAAAAGTATTTTGTCCTAATTAGAGTATGTCAGTCTTTCTTTCCTAAGTAGTACAATGAACTTGTCCTGTCCTAATTAGTGCAAATCAATCTTTCTTTCCTACATAGTGCAATAAACATTGTCCTGTTCTAATTAGTGCAAAACAATCTTCCTTCCTAAGTAAAGCAATAAACTTGTCCTGTTCAAATTAGTGCAACTCAACATTTCTTTCCTAATTATTGCCATAAACCTGTCATGTTCTTATTAGTGCAAATCAATATTTCTTTCCTAATTAGTGCTCCATACTTGAACTACCCTAGTTGTTACATTCCACTCTTTCTTTTTTAATTAGTGATGTACCTTTCTCTCATCCTCATTATTGCAATCAAACTGTTTGCCCTTAGTGCAATCCAACTTGAATTTCTCTACTTAGGATAGGACAAATTTCTTGCACTAATTAAGAAAGAAATATTGAGCTGCACTAATTAAAACAGGACAGCTGTATTGCAATCAAGAAAGAAAAATTGTATTGCACTAATTTGGACAAAAGAAAGAGTATTGCACTAACTGCCAAAGAAAGATTGGATTGACTAGGACAGGAAAATTGTATTGCATTAGAAAATAAAGTTTGGCTTTGGGTAGAAAAAATTATTCTTCTTCTTTTATGGGCCGTATCCCTTCAGGACGTAGGCGATCACTGCCCTCCATATTTTCCTATCCCTTTGTAGCTCGTAATAAGTTTTGTCTTTTTGTTATTTCTCTCAAACATTGTTCGACCAACCATTTACTCAAGCTCATTGAGTATGTCACTCTTTCCCCCACACATTGTCCTGTGGGTATCAGATTTTCCAAGCCCTTATTACGTGGCCCAGAAAAGCCTCTTCCTGATGTTAAGTGTGTTTCCTTTTTGTGTACATTTTCTCCAAAACCTCATCGTTGTTCACATGTTCGGTTCATGGTATCCTCAGCATCTTTCTGTAGAAACACATTTCTGTTGCTTCAAGTTTCTTCTTCATTTTTGACGATATTGTCCAGCATTCAATGCCATACAGGAGAACAGATATCACGTAACATTTCAGTAAACTTTTCTTTGTTTCTAGCGAACTTTTTCTGTCTCTTAATACACTGCTTAGCTTTTGGAACGCATCTTTGGTCATCCCAATACGCCTTCGAATCTCAGTATCGCACTTTCCATTCCTTGTTAGAACACTTCCCAAATATTTAAATGTCTGTACTTGTTTGAGTTTAGTATCCCCGATTTGTAAATTCCATTTTGGGCTCAGCCTTTTGTTGATAACAATGCATTCTGTCTTCTTGCTGTTTATACTGAGTTATTTCTTCTCTCTATCTTTCGCTATTTTCCGCAAGATGTTTTGTAATTTCCTTTCCGTGTCTGCTATCAACACTGTGTCATCTGCATATCTTACATTGTTAAGATTGTGGCCGCCAATAATGAATCCTGGCCATTGCTTTAATTTTACTTTGTTGGCTTTAAAAATCAGTATTCATTTTTTTTTTCATTTTTTTTAGGTGGAGGTGGACATGGAGTCGAAAGCCCACCATTCACATTTGATACGCCATGTATGTATATATATGTGTGTATGTGTGTTTCTTGTTTTTATTGTTATTTTTAGTGGGCAGGGATGTTTGTGATATTATTCCTATTTTCTTTATTTATTAAAGAATAAAATTAATAACAACTGGCCTAAATTGAATTTCACATTTTAATAAAATATAAAAATGTGATAGAAACTCACAGCCGTTTCCCCACTAAAAACAGTAATAAAAAGTAATGTCATATAAAAAAGATTCTTTCAAAAATTACTCTCTCTGTGTGTCTGTGTGCTCTCTTGCAAGTGTGTTTGTGTGTGTATGTGTGTGTGTGTGCGTTTGGGAGAGTGTTGAAAGAAAGAAAGAAAGAAAGAAAGAAAGAAAGAAAGAAAAAAAGAAAGAAAGCGTCCTTGCACAAGCGCTGGTAAGTAATGCACAATTGCTTCAGTAAAGAAGCCGATTTCGACGCTTTAATTATTTTTTATCCAAATTCGCTCCCACATAAAAAGAGACCGATAAATAACACCATGGCATTAATTAGCCTTATCTCTCGTCATTTTTCATATTATTACAATGTTTGGCCTGGCTGCAAAAGCACTTGCTAAACTTGTTGTTTCATCTCTGTTTTTCTCACGGGTTCATTGCGTACAACGGAATAATGTTTCTCAATTCAATTCTGATGCAATTCTGGAATTCATTCATCACCTTCCATTAGTTTAATCATTTGTTTTCTCTACATTTCATGTAACGATCCACCATTAGAAAATAAAAAAAGACGTCATCATATATATGTGTGCATGTGCCTAAGCGCACTTTGACTACTTCTAGATGCTTGCATGTATGTGTTATAAATATACACAATATATTAGAAGCTATACACGCATTCACATAGACACACACACAAACACACACACGTATATATATATATATATATATATATATATGGTGTATCAAAAATACTTTTGCAAACATTGGGGGCGGGATTCTCACGCCAAACCAAGGACAAAAGTCCACATAAACATATATCCGAAACTCTTTCGTTTCTGAGTTATTAAGTTTAAAGTTTACGGTAGACACTGTTAAATGTAGAATCCAAGATACAATCCTAAAATACTTTTACAAACTTGGTGGGGGGTCCTGACACAAAAACAAGGTAAAATGTCCGTATGAACATATGTGCAAAAGATCATCGTTGTGCATCAATAGAGCAACTCATAACAAATATTCAAAATGCCCTGTGATTGCTTCTACACATGCATGCACCCGTCGGATGCCGACCTTTTCAAAAACTACCTCACGAGGTTGAATGGTTTCAAAAGCACCCATGATTTGTCCTTGTTTTGGAGGGAGGAACCCGCCCCAAATTATGTAAAAATATTTTTGATACATCTTTTTATATATATATATATATATATATATATATATATATATATATATATAACATCACTACAAAAATAGCTATTTTGTTTCAACACCTCTGGTGTCTTATCAAGTGATGGTGTTGAATGTAGAATAAAGAGTATTAAAAGGTTCAAATCAACCAAACACCCCTCAATAGGAGAAACGCTGTTACATAAGCTACAATGACCAATCAAAATACAAATATATGAGAATTCAAAAAACTTGACAACAAACCTTGGTTATAATAATTAATGCCTTAATGTTAGGATTAGACTAAAAGAGAAATCATTCTAATTAATATGAACTTTTACTATAAAATTGAAAATTAAAAATTACCAATTTTAAATTTAATATGTATTAAATTTAATACATATACACACACACACATATATGTATATATATATAGAGAGAGAGAGAAAGAGAGAAAGGGAGAAAGAAAGAGAGAGAGGCTGCAAAAGTAAGTAATAAATTAAGTATTATACCACTTGGAGAGCCGAGTTCGAATTCGAGTCGAATATATTACATTGACTTACGTGCTAATACCCTTGGGAAATGTATGAATCCTCTTCTTCTCCCTCCCTTCTCGCTATGGGTAAATAGCAGGACAGACTGGGTTCTATAGCCTTGGATGGCAAGGAGGTCTAGGAGAAGTGCAACTCTGATATCAAAACCTGCGAAGTGTCGTTTGGGGACCATGTGGTACGTAGGTCTCTGTATTCGGGCCTCCAAAAAGTGTAGATGGTTCTGCACAAAACCTTCACCACTATAATCAAATCTCATGTCGGTTCCTAGGAACTCATCTGATTGACCCTCATACGTCGAATTCGACGGGAGAGTCAACTATATATATATATATATATATATATATATATATATATATATATATATATATATATATATATAGACAAGTTCTGTCTATTCAATTTTTTATTAACTTTTCAAATTAGTTATAATTTTACCAAAATTCACTTTTTATTTTATTATATAACATTCGTCCGTTTACTGAATAGCATATCTGGTCTGGTGCTCCAACTGAGCATCTTGAGATACTTGACAAAAGCCAGAGACGACTTGTGAGACAAGGTCTTTTTTTAAGGTGGGCACCCGAACGTGTATACCCGGACCAGGAACAAAATCCCCCGCAACAGTCGGCTTCGCTGGCCTCGGTGCGAGCACCGATCCTTCTGTCTGGTGCAATGAGAGGGCGCGGCCTCGGACAGCTGTTCCCCAGGGCTGGGCACCTGTCAGTATAATTTTCCTCAGTTGCAACTCTGTCCTTTGACGGAGTCGCCCATAAGCGCACTCTGCCCAAAACTCATCATTATATATATATATATATATATATATATATATATATATATATGTTTGTGCATGTATGTGTGTGTATTGTTTAAAATACTATTATTTATCGGAAAATATATTATTTTAAACAATACTCACATACACACACACTCATAAAGTTAAAACCACCAACAAAATCACTTGTAATTTAGGAAGACGCCATTTTGAAATGTATTTAACTTCTCAGAACACAT